AAGACGGTTTTCTTGCTCTTTAAGTCTTATAGATATTTGATACTGCCTTTCCAGCTCCTCATGGCGTCGTTTCACTAAAGCTAGCTCATGCCGTTTCTCACTTGATGACATAGTGCGAACAGTCGACGTATGACGAGTGGAAGCAGATTTATCAGAGTTGAGTGAGTCAAGCTGTCTACTATCCTTCGACTTATTAGAGACCTTAGACCTGTTTTCAGATACTCGTGCTTCTGAATCCCTTGTTTTGTGCGAGCGTGAGGATGTCTCTGACATAGTTTGTTGTTGAGATCATTTGCTCCCTGTAATGCCGGCTGCTTAAAATGACAAAGGTTCAAGTGTCATCTTGTAACTCTGAGCTTCATGCATTACTTTATCGTTCATTTCGGTTAGTTTCTTAAGCCAAAGGTCTTACAGAGTAATAAATTTTTCAGGCTTTTCCATTTTCCCCGCTAACCTAATTAATTGCTCATTTACGTCAACAGCTGTTTCCAACAATTTTACAATTGTCAACAGCAACATCAATTTATGTGGGGCGATAATTATTTTCAATGTACTCAACTAATAATGAGTGACCTTTAAGCAGCTCATTTTCTAGATTTAGACGGGTTTCAAATAACTTCCGTATCTTATTTTGGAATTTTTTGTCCATGTTTTTCACAAAATGACAATATTTTACGGATGCTCACTAAAGAGAAAACAATTTAAAAAATGAGATACTGTTTTGGTACATAATTAAATTTGCATCAATATATCAACATTAGTTTAAAAGATGGGGGAACTTTACGTCTCAAAGCTTCTGCCCGAAGCCTGCTTTTTATAGCTTTTCGAGCTTTGAGTGGTAAGCGGTTCTGCTTCCTAGGCGTCTTAAGGATATTACGACTAGCGCTATAACGCCTTAGAAGGAGGAGAGTCTTTAACTCAAGGGAAGGAGGCTGGTGAAGCTCTTTGTTTTTCTCAATTAGTACCTCGTCCTTAGCCTTACGCTTAGAGATAAAGTCTTTTACGACGCTCAGAACGAGAATACCTGTTGAAACTAAAATCTCCTCTATATCTTCCGTTCCGTTCCGTCTACAGTATACGATCGCATAAATATTTGTCCTATACCTTAATAACAAATTGTCAAGTTGCTCACTACTCAGCTTGCGGTTATTGTTTCTGCGGTGCCTACTTATCGAATTAATAATGGCGTCGTGCCACATTACAAGGTCGTTACGGTGCGACAAGTAGTGATGAAGGTAGTACTGTATTGTTTTCTGAGAGTCCCTAGCGTTAAAGTTCAAACTTAAACCTGGCTTTGTAAAGCAAGTATCTTTGACGCGCTTCTGGGATAGAGCGGGAAGTTTTCGGAGCGCGTGATCCAAGGAACTAGCTCCTAGAATGAATACCATACACCTAAGGGACCTATGCGACGGCTACGTTACGCTTAAGTACCAATGGTGTTGGAAATTAAGTAGGTCGGTTGAACTCGAACAATACACACGGATTAAACCTGAGGATGAAAGATTTCAACTTAACTCACTTAATATCACCGTTTCTGACCACTTAACATTACTGTCACGCAACGAAGTCAATAATTGAACGGACAGAAACAGCTTTGATTTACTTGAAGCCAACTCGCTTTCAGTTTCACCAAAAAAAGTGGGGGATCAGGCAAATTGGTTAAGTTCCAACAACACACGCGCAAGAAACCTGAGGATGAAAAAACTCAACTTAATTTGCCTGATATTCCGCTACCAGACCACTTAACATAAGGTTGGTGTCATCTTACAGCACAGTTTCGCAGAATTCTGGGGACGTTTTGAGGATTTTGTGGCAATTTTTTTTTTACTTTTTTCACAAAATTTCTCGGAAAACTTTGATCAGCGGGTTCGAGTCATAAACCAATCCAAAAACTAGTCCAGTAATTCGTGTCTATGTTCCAGTTTCACGGATTAACTTTCCGTTCACATATATCCAAAAAATTTTGGCATCGAGAAAAAATGTCAAGTCAGTTTGACTATTTACCGACTGTAAGACATTTCAGTTCAACGGAACTGTCCAAAAGTTTTGGGTATTGAGAAAAATTGCCGGGTGCTACCTTGCGGAAAAAATTCTACCATATAGTACATCGTATATAAATTTATACTATAAATGGAAAGTTTTAAAAGTATTGGAAACTTCTTACAGTTTTTAATTGGAGATTGGCGAAAAAATCCAAAACTTCGGGTGTCGAGAAAAACACAGCTCCACTTTGCCCGAAAGTCAACAATCAGGACACCTGAATAGGCCTCTCTTCCGCCAGTCTGCTCTTTCGCCTGTCTGCTATATCGTCTGTCGGCTCTTTTGGCCAATCGCCCACTTTCGTCAAGTAAACTGTGTGAACAGTTTCGGCCAATTCGGTGCTCCGACGACTTTCTGCTAAACCGCACAATCTGTCGATTTTCGGCCAGCTGAACAATTTAACAGCTTTCGTCCAATTAGACACTTTTCGGCCAAATGCACACTTTCGGCCAATTAGACACTTTTTGGCCAAACGCCCACTTTCGGCCAATTAGACACTTTGCGGCCAAACGCTCACTTTCGGCCAACTGGTAGCTGATATTTTCGTATTTTCGGCCAAGTGGTTTTTTCGTAAAATTTTCCAAAATGGAGTGAGAGATGAAAACCCTAGGGACAAGAGAGACCGGCGTGAGATACTTGTCCCTAGGCCTCTCGGCCAACTGTACTTATGTTTGTTCCATTTTGATCCAATCATATTCAACCTTGTGTTTGGTTTATATATATATGCATTTATACTCTCGCTTACATTTGCGTTGTAACAGCGCTGAAACTTAATTAGTCAATTTTAGCCAATGAGATAAAAGCAAAACAGTTTCAGTTAGAAATTGATTTTTCGGCGGAATAAAAAAATCTCAATTTGAAATACGAATGTTATTTTTGCATCTGCAAGCTTATTGTGTGCATCAATTTAGGATCCTAGAAGATTGCATCATTTTCGGAGTTTGAAAATTGCTAACTTGGCCTATTTGGGATTATTTTTTCATATTAGCGCTCCATCGGCTCAAAAAACCCGATTCAGAAACCGTTCCAAACTGAATTGAGCTCACTTCATTTTTGAACGTTCAAACTAACGATAAAAGATAAAAGATAACAAATACTTTTTAATTTTCGAGCTTAGAGAATCAATTTTTTTTTATTATATACAAAATCAGTCCAAAACAGTCGAAACTTGTCTGCAGAAAAAACCAACCAAGCACAAATATTCCGTCATTTTCTTTGAAAATTGGAACAAAATGTTCCAAGTTTTCAAAAGAAGCTGAGAGTATGTTTTAACTTAAATTTAAAACATTGTGCAAAAATAAATAAAGCTTTGGAGACAGTTATGTTTAACCTCTATGTTTTCTTTTTTTTTAATTATAAACGATAAAAGCCAAACACTCTGCAAGTAGAACTGAAGTTTCAAACCACTGAAATCAAAATCAGCTTACGAACAAATCATTTAAAAAAGTATTTTTTGGAAAATCTTTTTCAGTTCCCTGTGTTTCAACAATAAGCCTTGATAATTTTTATGATGTCTTAACCTACTCGAAGCAGATGTAAAGCGACGGCTAGTGACCCTTACATTTTACTCTTTTGATTGGTTTATCTGTTGACTGAAAAAAGCATGACTGTCAAAGAAAAATTTTTGGAACCTAAATTGTGATAAAAGAACTTCAAAATTAAGCCACTTTCGGTGCCATCAAAGTTAGCGTTGAGTACCTGGCTTCCAATACAAAAACGCTCTATATCTGGAGCACATTTTCCACTTCAAACTTAGTGAACTGTTATGACAAAAACAGCTGAACTTCTTCCCAGCTTCAGCAAGAAATAAAATTGGTCGTTTGCTCTGTAAAGTATTTCAAACACAAAATTTTGGTAAATTTCTCATTATTTCAATTTTTGTCACTTTTTTTCGGAAAAAATGAAGTAAATTTCTTATTGTGATCATATTGGGTAATATTGCTGCAACTGGATTCTGTAATAAAATACTCTGTTGAAAAAAGAAGAACGAAACAAACAGCAGGGCTTTCTTTGGCACAAAAATTTTTGCGCATTTATCATTCATTTATCCATCCGGGGCTCAAATGTCAAATCTATGGCTCCTTTATAAATAAAAGTAGGTGCAACATACATTAATGACTCGTAGATGCGTGATTTAGGAAAGTTAGTGATTTAGGCAAAACTCGCAATAGTTCTTCAAAAAATTTAAATCGAAAAATTAAATAAAACTCATTTTTTTGCGCAAAAAATTTTCAAATTTATTTGAAGATACTTTTAATGGCCACACAAGCGCTAACAGAACTTCCAAATTGTTTTATATTATAATTTTAATTTCTTAGTAATGTCAAGTTTTTGAGCTTACATGGCCACTTACTATATAACAAACGTTACCCGGGCGCTGTACTCGCTTGAATTTAGGCTTTAACTCGAAAAGTTCAAACCAGTATTTCTCGATACTGGGACATTTTTTTGAAAAACTGCTCTATCTGCTCACAATATGACTATAAGGGCTTTAGTATGACACATCACTCGACCCACTCTATTGATTATTTGTGGTACAAGATTTTGAGCAAAAAAAAAGAACAAAAAAAACGCACCCGAATACAACGTTTTTCCCCATTTTCACTGTTCGGAAAAATCAACTACTCATAATAATTGGTTTTCAAGAATCCCGAATAACAGAAAATGTAGGAAATTTTTAGGTTGCTTTGAGCCAGGGTGACTTCGGGAGATCTTTTTAGTGCAGCCCAAATGTTTAGGGGATCCCTCTGAACGATCGCATCAAAGGGCTCCTGCGAAAAGAAAGAGTAAATTTTAGGCGCATGGAACATTTTTTTCATTATATATTGATGGTTCAATCTTTTTGTAAAATATTTTATGCAAGTTTTCGGCTTCTGTATTTTTTCAACAATGTTTTGGCTGCTGTTTTTGTATATGACTTTGAAAAATATATATTTATTTTCAAAGCGCTTGTTTATTAGTCATCAAAGCGAACTCGATCTCATAAAATTTTTAATAACTTTCAGAAGTTGATTATTTGATTCTGCCGCAGCCAGTGTAACAATGAGTAAATTTTCGAGTGATGAGATTAAACAAGATTTTAATTTGGAGCAGTGCGTAAAAAATATCGACGGAGGGGATTATTTCACGAAGGAGGAGATTTCGGAGTTGTACGAGACCTTCACTTCTGTCGACAAAGATTCGAATGGGACCATTGACTTAAGTGAACTCAAGCTGTGCTTGTCTTTAGTCGGAATGGTAAGATAAAAAGATGAACTTTCGAGTTGATATAATCTTTTCACAAGTCCGCAAAATGAAAAAACAAAAGCCTTTTTAAAAAAATGTCGCCAAAAACCAAGAAGTTTTTTTTTTAATTCGGAAAGTTCGGAAACAAAAAATACTGTTTTCATACATGACATGAAATTCTCAGTAGTTTGTCAATTTCTATTCATAAGCATAAGCAGAAGCGGATTTAGGGGCGGATTTGAACCCCTGCGTACACAAAGGGTCCCCCTTTGGTACTATTTTAGGAAATCTTTTTTTACTGACCGACCCAAAAACTTTGGCGCCCAGATATACCAAATTTGAGAAACGAGCGCGCGCCGAAAAAAGCAAATTTTTGGTCAAAATTTTACAAAAAAATGCCAAGAAAAGGCTAACCAAGTTTTCGATATTTTTTGAAAATTCTCTACCCCAAACCCCTCCTCGAGAAAAATTTAGATTCTGGGCATAACAATTAAAAATTGACAAAAAATCACCTTTTGGGAATCGCAAGTTTATGCTTGCAATTGAGGAGTTTAAATCTTTTCGTGAAAAACTTTTACTGTAATTTTTGTCTGAACTTCCTGGATTATATTCTTATTGGCTTAGAAAATGCTTGAACTTGATTAATAATGTTTCCAGAAATTGAGAGACGAGCAGGTGCGTGAAGTGATGGAGGAAGTAGACACAGACAACAGTGGGGATATTGACTTCCAGGAGTTCATCCGCCTACTCGCCAGCAGAGCCTCAGACTCCTCGGAGGAGGAGGACCTCAGAGTTAGTATAGTCAGAATCTAGGATTTTCTCGAGGGGGAGGGGCGGATTTTCAAAACAAAATTAAAAATTTTTGTCTACCTTTTTGTAACGTAGAATAAATTCGTTTTCCGAGCTCTCCCAAAGCGCTAAACAGAATCTATTTTGACCAAAATTTTGAAAACACAGGCCAAAAAAAAACTTTTTAGGCAATTTTTGGAAAAGTTTGATAGAAAAATCGCGTTTTTGGCGAGCGCTTTCGCTGAAAACTATTAAATTTAGGCGCCTAAGGCGCCTTTAAAAAATTTAAGGGGCCGTCTGAAAAAAATGGATATCTCAAAATAGTACAAATGGAGGATCTTTTGTGTCGGCTAGGAGTACAATCCCTGACGAGGGGGGCATCCGCCCCCTCCTAAATCTGCCCCGGAGCACAGTTAAGTAGTAATATAATTATATTATCGTAACCGGGTTGACGTCCATACAAGAAAAAGGTTCCTAGCTTTTTATTTCTAAGCAACTTACCATCATACAATTTTTTTGTTGCCGTAGCAACTTAAAACCACTAAATTCATTTTTTTAATATAAACTAACACCCTTTTGATCCAAAATGAAAAGAGAACTTACTTCAAAGGGGACTTCGGTAAACATCAAAGATGAAGCAGTAAACTCTCAGCCATTTACTGCCAGAGAATTTCGCGCTACTTAACTCACATAGGTTTTGAATAGAAATGACCTTGTCAAGAAATTGGATTGTTAAAACGACTCGAACCAAAAAATGAGCAGATTTTCAACAAACTTCGAGGGCCTGCATTTAAATAAACCGGATTTTCCAGACTTTCGAAGCTGGCACAGAAATTTTTAAAAAGTTATCAGAAGCTAAAAGGCTAAAAATAATTCAATTTTTGAATCATTCTCAAAATTGAACTTATAACACGATTGCTTATTATAGCTTTTTCAATTGTTGACACATAAACGCAAAGCAAAAACGTGTGCCAGCCCCTAGTCCCACCTAGCGTCCCGAATCCAAGGCAGACTGTCCTGGAATTGAATTGCTAGTGCACGAGTCAAATTCTTGCGTTTAGTTACGTTTTCCGTGAGTCTGCAAGGTAACGTTGTTTCGAAAAAAAGTTGACAAAAGTTTCAGTTGTATTGAAAATTGAATTTAAATGATACGATTGAATAAACCAAAATACGAACAACTATTACTTTTTCATTTAATACACGGTACTTTTTTTGAAACAATGGCCATTCAATGCATCGAAAAGGTCAAGTTTTTGTAAGTTGTCGTCTTTTTGCAAGTTGCCCACAACTTCTCACATATTTTGAGTGGGCTCCGCTGATATTGTCAAAATGGCATCTTTCGACAACGTTTGTTGTTTTTGCAATCCCACTTACGGCGCATCTCGCTCAATCCAAAGGAAAAGTGGGAAAAAATTTCACAGTTTGGCACCATTCTTTTTGTACAGTTGGAGCCGAAGTACAGACACAACTCATGAACTTCTTCATTTTTTTTGGGGTTTTTGCGCATACATTCTGATTTCCTGAACAGTCATATCATAGAGCTTGACAAATTTTTCATTCTTTTTGAAATGCAAGGAAACGCAGCGCTAGTTGTGATTCGTGTCGTAGGTCAATTTCAGATTCAATTAGATAATTTTTACAAGTAACTCAGTGAGAGATGGAAAAAAAACAGATGAAAGCGCTTTAGTAGTTTTTTTGGAAAGACTGACGAGCAGCATTCTCGAAATCAAGAAAAAGTTCAGAAGAAAGATTTTTCGTTTTTTTTTGAAAGTAGGGCGTATTAGGAAGCTGGGGCAATACCAGCTACACTAGCATCAATTGAATATGGCTGATAAAAATTTTTTGGAGTAATATAAAAAGTTCCATCGGCTAAGTAGACATATAATTTTTCCAGGCCACTCAGATTTCGGAGTCACCACACAAAATTATCCACTCTCGAACAATTGATCCACTGTCGTACTGGATAAAAGTTCAAAAAATTAATAGGAACTCGAAATTTTGCGCAACGTATATATAAATGCAATTCGTATTTATATCTGGATGCTTACGTGTGCGTGCAGCTGTTGAAGTCAGTTTATTTATAATTGGGAGGGTAAACTGAGTGACCAAATCAGTTATTACTGGCAAAACCGCACTGACAACTGGAACAGTTGGTATAAATCTCTCGCTAAGATCTTTTAATTCCCGCTGACACGTCAAGGTTATGCTCTCCAATCGTCTCGATCAATTCATTATTTTCCGTATTGGCAGATACTTGATTTTTATGTGTTTGGTAAATTGAGCAAATCCAGGTTTTGATAAAATTACTTTTTTTGCTTAAATAAAATTCTTGGCCAGACGCTATAAGAATTGACTTGTTTTTATATGAAACTGTGAATTTGAAAAAATACTCAATTTCATTCTGTTTTTTATTGTTTGTGTATGTTTATCACTTGAGTACAGCATAAAATGACAGTCAGAATTTTAAATTTGTGAGAAATTTTATGTGAAATTTGTATGAATTAGCACATGCAGGTTTTTTAGTAATCGTAATTGGTTAAGGAAACATCTAATTGAAAAAATACGAACTTGTTGATAACTTTTCTAGGTAACTGGGGGAGCCTCATTTCAGGATGTATAACAGATTTAAACTTGGTTAAATGCAGGGTCTAATTTGGTTGTGATTGGGTTACAGATATGGAGTTCATACAGTATTTTAATTGATGTTAACTTATAAAAATAGGAGTTTAATTGTTTTGGAATTAAATGGTTTACTAGTAAAAGCACAAGGTATTAAAACGTACGGTGTTAAATAGGCTGGTTCTAAACTGTAAGACTGCAAGAAAAGCGCTGGTCACACAGTTTCATAGTTGGTGTCTTTGGATATATGTTTATTATATAGTTTTCACTTCCAAAACTGTATGATAAGCTTTACGTCAGAGGAAAAATAAAATTTTTAAAGAGAGTTTTCAGAAGTCATTCAAAAATGTTTCTAGGTAAATTTAAATGCTTTTAATATGGGCTTTTGTGACTTTATAGCATTTTGATTGTCAAAATTAAGGTTTTTTTGGTAGAAAACGAGCATAAAAACAATTTACTTCTAGTGCATCAGTTTTGTTTATCTTTTTCCTAGGTAACTGAAGGAGCCTCATTTCAACATGTATAGCAGAGTTAAAACAAATTTTTTGATTTGATGCGTGCGTTAAATGCAGGGTTAGTTTTGGTTAGGATTGGGTTAAAGATAGGGAATTCATACAGCATTTTAATTGGTGGTAATTTATCAAAATAGGAGTTTGTTTGTTTTGGATTTAAATGGTTTAGTAGTGAAATGACAAGGTATTAAAACGTACGGTGTTAAATAGGCTGGTATTAAACTGTAAGACTGCAAGAAAAGCGCTGGTCACACAATTTTATAAATGGTATCTATGGATATATGTTTATGATATAGTTTTCACTCCCAAAACTGTATGATAAGCTTTACGTCAGAGGAAAAATATAATTTTTAAGGAGAGTTTTCAGGAGTCACTCAAAAAATTTTCTAGGTAAATTCAAATGCGTTTAATATGGTCGTTTGTGACTTTATAGCATTTTGATTGTCAAATTTAAAGTTTCCTTTTTGGTCGAAAACATGCATAAAAATAATTGGTTTCTAGTGCGCCAGTTTTGTTTAATTTTTTCGCCTCATGTCAACATTAGGTTTTGATTTTGAAATGAAATAAAGGCCCTTCCAGGGCGACCATTTTTTTTCTTGCCATCAAAATTTTCTCTCAAAAGATGAAGTCAAAAATTACCGAGTTTCGAACTGGGTTTGAAGCAAAACAGATCGAGTCGGGAGTATTTCTACACTTGCTTCTTCAGAAACTTGATCCCTTGCCTTTTACTCCCTTAAACTGCCCTCATTCATTGCTAGTCTTAATGAAATTAATTTTGGGCTGACCGGACTTAAGCTTTTTTTTTTACTTCTACGTCCGTTTTTATAATATTGAAAAAGAAAACAAATTAGCGTTTTTTACGAATAGTTTGCAAAGGACCAAGGGAAACATCGTCTGCAATTGGGTCGGACAAGAATATCTGACGAGTGAAGAATTTCTAACAGCCCGATCCAAACCCGCTCAGAAATCCAGTAATTTTTGACTTTAAGCTTCGTTCAAAATGATTGATGACCGACTCGACGACAAAAATATCAGGGCCTTTATTTCAAACCAAATTCAAAATATAATGTTAAACAGAGTCAAAATAATTTGAAAAAATGATGCGCTTGTTATTTTGTTGGTAGAAACAAATAAGCTGAAGTCTCTATTTTTAGATCGCATTCGATAACTTCGACCGAAATCACAGTCATTATATTGAAGCAGAAGATCTCAAAGTAAGTGGTGGAACATTGATGTTTGTTACCTTGCGTGAAAACTGGTTAAAAATTTTCAAAACAAAAGAATTTTTTGAAGAAAAAAAATGAATTATGGCCTATTTTAATTTTCTTAGAATAGCAAAGGTTTTCAAAAAACGAATTTTTTTTAAAATTGACATTTAAGCTATTTATATTTTTTTTATATTAATTCAAAATTACATTCAATCGAAGGCACTTCTTCTGTCTCTGGGAGAGAGAGTGAATGACTCAGATGCAGCTGAGATGATCAGGATGGCAGATTTAGACGGAGATGGCAAAGTCAGTTTTGAAGACTACTTCAATTTCATCCGCAAAATATAATCAGAAGAAAAAACAGAAAAATCCTAATTTCATCAAATTCAAAACGTTTTATTTTAAATGTTTTTTATTTTATTTGAATTTTAATTATCACATTGACACTCTACTAAAGATTATAACTTCTATGAAATAGTTTAGAAGGGAAATCTCGTTTTCTCAGTTAAAAAGGAGACAAACGAATCGGATTTTATTTACATTGACCTCATTTTTGTTCCGGCTACTGAAAACGGAGAAGAGCTTTTGTCTTCGGTGTGTTTTAGTTGTTATCGATTATCTTCTTTATCGATTTTGAGGATTCTTTTTAACCCAATGATCATCCATTTTGCTATGTTTTAAGTAAATCTTCAGACCTGGCAGTTTGGGTTATCGAATTCGTTTCTGATGTGACCTGCTTTAGTTTCAAAACATTGCTTCCTAGCATAGCAAACGTTTTATGCTCCAAAAAATTGCGGCATTCTCCACGTTTTTGACGTTTTTCACCACGTTTTTGACCGTTCTCAATTTTAGCTGGAGGAAAATTCATTTGATTTCAGTGAGAGCAATCTAAGGAATGCTTTGTTCAAAATGTGAGCACTTTTGTTCGCTCAGAAGTTGAAAAACATTTTTTGTAATTGGTTTTTTGATGCCAATAAACGTTTTATAATGATTGGAACGGGGAAGTCATCGATTTTTCGAAGTTTTAGTTTTTTTTGTGTGCAGAATCAACCAAGCAGAGTTTAGTTGGCTGCAAAATAAACCTTCCGAACATAAATTTCAAAACTGAGGTAGCGTTTTGTTCTAATTATTTAGGACACAAATCATTTCCGAAAAAAAAATTACTGAGACTCAATTTTTTTCACACAATGATTATGATTTTTCTGTAAGAAATAAGGTTTATTATGTTTTATGATATAAATTGCTATATAAAGTACTCTATCGAAAATAGTTGGCCTTATTTTTCAACCACTAAGTTTTCAAATTATAATCACATGACTAATCTGAAAATGCAGCATCGCTGTGAAATTGTTGCCTTCAATCATTGCGTTTGTTTATTTGAGAAAACGTTTTGGTAATTGCGTTTTTCATCAAAACAACAAAGATTTCAGCGGAAAAGTTTAGTTTTTATTTTGAGGATTAAATTTAAGATTAGATTTTTATCAAAATTTTTTAAAAGTTTTTGAGTCATGTGAAATTGTATGACTGAGGTTTTTTCATCAAAAATGTATCATTAGAAAATCTGTTCAACCACGTAAGTTTTAGCAAAACACTGAGCCGCATTCAATAAAAACAACACAAATCAATTATTCGTCACTGCCAAATTGTTTTTTGCGACTTTTTGTTTGCTGGGATTTTTTTAAAAGTCAAAGTTCATTTAAATCATCAAAGTCTCATCGCAAACAAAAAATGTCACCTTTTTGAAATTGTTTTTTAGTATTTTTACTTGTCAATCAACTTTGTCAAAAAGCCGAAAACTGCATTTGATTGAATTTCATTCGAGTTGTATGCAGCAAAAAAACTGATTCAAAATGGGCTTTCCAAGTAGATATCCAAAATCACTACTTGTTTTCAACCTAAATGTTAAGCATTCATAAAAACAAGCCAGATTAATTTAAGAAGAGTTGAAAGAAATTCTAATCTGGAGTTAACCGTAAAAAAATATATTTATATACCAAAATTTTTTCATAGCGAACGGGTGTCATAGTTGACGACAGAACTTGTTTTCATTTTTTTTTAAAAGTCAGAACTAAAATAAGTCTTCATTTGTACAAAATTTAAAGTTAAATTTTTTTCCTCGAATTGTTTTGTAAAAACAATAAACTATAAAATCAAAACAGTTTTTTATAAAGACAACTGGTTGTACAAGTTTTTGGGCCCTAAACTTTGTTCTAATTTAACATAAAAATTTTTTTGCTTGTTTTTGGTTTAACCAGTTTTGTTCCTCAAAGTAATTTTGCATACAAAATTTACCGCTGATTTTGTTCAAGCGTACTTGCGTCAAAAATCACCGAACATTTTTGACTGAACGGAAATTTAGAGTGCACCAGCTGTCTGCTATGTTTGTTAGAAATTTTTCTTACCCCCTTATAAAAAAATGTAATCAGATTAAGTTATAATATTTGCAACCTTTCAAGTAAACCAGCTGTATGCTTTTTTTGCTTAAAAATTTTTCACCCCAAGTAACATTATGCAATCATTTTTTTTTTGAACAAAAGTGATTCCGCGTGCACGACGAAAAATTTTCAATTCTGTTTTTACAAAATGGTTGCAGATGTAGACAATTTTGCTGCAAATAGGGTGCTAGACTTCTATTTTTAGAGAAACAATTGTCATAAAGCTCAAATTTGAGGCGTGATTTAGAACTAAACAGTGTTTGTCCACTATTGAATACGATCGAAAAATTTTTGGTTGGCCCCACTTCAAGTCTAATACTTGCAATATACTTTCGGGATTGAGATGTATTTCCTTGTGCTTGATGATAGCTGTTCTTGATATAAGATTCATTGTTTCAACTAGGTCAGAAAAATTATTTACAAGTTTAGATAATAAAACCATCTTGTTTCAATTTAAAAAAAAAACAATCAAAATTTGACTGAGCTTAAGTGCTTTTGTGGGGAGCTCGACGAAATCGAGAGAATCATACAGGCAAAAAAATTGCATTACTGCGGGAGCCGCTTCTCGATACATGGCCTGGAGGTGTTTTGCTGTTTGCTCAATAAAATGGCTGAGTTAATATGTCAGCTATCCTTCAAAAACTGTTTCCTAGTTCAAAAACGCCTTCCGAAGCTGAGTTATTAGAAATAAAAATAACAAAAAAAGCCAAGAAATTTTCCAAAGAACCAAGGCAGACAATTAAACTACGGAAGAAACAAAAGAGAAGTTTTGCACACAAACGAGAGAAAACCTCAAAAACGAAATTTTTCCGACGCTCATTGCTTATTCTCCGGATCTACGAAAACGACAAACATTTTCGTTCGGTTCATGTTTTCACGAGATGAAACTGTATTGATTTGAAACACTATTTTTCTTCGGTTACCAATTTTGAAAATTAAAACTTTACCAAATGAAAACATAGGTTAAGTTTCAAAACAAAATTATTACCCCTCTGACTACTTTTAGTGATAATTGGGAATTTTGAAATTGCTGATCAATTCGAGTTCTCATTGCCGCTTGACACTCATAAGCTAGGAAGAAACACCAAAGGTGAAAAGAAGTTTATCGTAGTCAAAAAATATATAAAGAATTTGAATTCCTCCCAGGGTTCCTAGACGGCTCCTTCCAGGAACTCCAGCGTTGACCTAGACCCTTTAAGTTCCTGGCACGAAGTCTAAGGTTTTCCGCTGGCAAGGTAACTCGGGTTTTTTCGCATCTACGCCCCAAGTCAATCAAGGTAATTTTTTAGAAGATTTTCTGCAAAAATTTTTAGGTGGTAAACAGTAAGAATTGAGAGTTGCGAGATAAAGAAAATGGACAACAATTTTCCCAAAAAAAAGGTTTCTCTGTAGTTTTTTTAATTTTTAAAAAAGCAAGAGATATTCAAATATACATATTCTTCAAAAAATAGAAATATGTGGAAGAAAAATCACTGCTGAGTTTCTAAAAGGTTTGAAAGCTTTGTGTAGTTTCAATTCAGTATGAACTTCTGTTACAAGTTTTTTCTAAAAAGTTTGTTAATGGTGTGAAGACTGTCTCAAGGCTTAGAGCACCGGGGCCATTTTTTAAAAAATTTTTTTTTTGAATATGGCAAAAAAATTTATACAGTCATATTTTTTTTTCGATTGATAAAAAAGTGTCAAGTAGTGGTGGTCTGGAGATAAAAAAAAGATATATCCAAAATTACTACTTGTTTTCAACCTAACTGTTAAGCATTCATAAAAACAAGCCAGATTAATTTAAGAAGAGTTGAAAGAAATTCTAATCTGGAGTTAACCGTAAAAAACTATATTTATATACCAAAATTTTTTCATAGCGAACGGGTGTCATAGTTGACGACAGAACTTGTTTTCAATTTTTTTTAAAAGTCAGAACTAAAATAAGTCTTCATTTGTACAAAATTTAAAGTTAAATTTTTTTCGTCAAATTGATTTGTAAAAACAATAAACAATAAAATCAAAACAGTTTTTTATAAAGACAACTGGTTGTAAAAGTTTTTGGGCCCTAAGCTTTGTTCTAATTTAACATAAAAATTTTTTTGCTTGTTTTTGGTTTAACCAGTTTTGATCCTCAAAGTAATTTTGCATACAAAATTTACCGCTGATTTTGTTCAAGCGTACTTGCGTCAAAAATCACCGAACATTTTTGACTGAACGGAAATTTAGAGTGCACCAGCTGTCTGCTATGTTTGTTAGAAATTTTCTTACCCCCTTATAAAAAAATGTAATCAGATTAAGTTATAATATTTGCAACCTTTCAAGTAAACCAGCTGTATGCTTTTTTTGCTTAAAAATTTTTCACCCCAAGTTGTAATATATGTCTAAATAAACTTTTTGGATTTTGAAAAACTCCCGTTGTTTCAAAAAACAGCAAATTGCACAAAAATAGTCGTCTGTTACTGAAAAATCACACCATCGTATAAACGCTTTTTGAGAGGAAACTAAGAACCAAAGCAACAAAAAAAACTAAAAATTGAATCACTGTTCGGCCCACTGGCTCGTAATAGGGTCAGCATAAACGTCAGACCTTTAAAACGCTTCTTTTTTTCTAAGATTGAAATGAAATCAAGAATGTGCTCATTTTAACGGCATTGCTTTCAGATAACGTCAATTTAAACGACCATAAGTTTGTCATAAGTCTGGAGAACCAGTATAGTAATCAAAAACCTAATGGTTTTGAATGCATACCAACGATAATAGCCGACGCTACCGGCTAGTTAATTTAGCGGTCAAGGTCGTTCAAAGTTATGATTTTCATTTAAAAAAGGACAACAAACCGTCTGTGGTGGGATGAAATAAGCCCGTTACCCTTACCTACTTCGTAAATTGCTTTATAATACCGGAGCTATGGCGGAATCGAACACGGTTCATTAACAAAAGATACTAATCTCTTGACCGAGCGAGACAATTTGAATTTTATCCTCAAGCGTCAACGTCTTCCGCCGTCAGAGGGAGAAGGACCGGAGCAAGCT